TCATATCACAAATCCCACGTCAACAGATAACGGCCGCAATAAATAATTGATACAACACTGGGCTTTTGAATCAAACAGTTTAAAAAACGTGGGAATTAAAAACCCATTTTAATTTAAGTGACGCTAAACACAAGATAACACAAATTCCTCTGCAAGACCTGTCTCTACCAATCGATTGATGTTCCAGCCTTTGTTTTTACTTTATAAATTACTATCATTGCCCGCGGCTCCACTCGCGTTTAGATGACCTAAAACCAAAAACCAAATGCAATGTAAGAGTATACTAATATTTAAAACCAAACGGTTTTATATATATTAGTATACTCTTACATTGCAGTTTTTGTATTTTTTTCGACGACGGACGGACGGACAGACAGACAGACAGACAAAAATTGTAAAAACTATAGATTCGGACTCTGTATCGATAATAATATTTATTTCAATTAGATTTTCCAAAAAATATTTAATGTACAGATTCGACTTAGTTACAATTTTATTATATGTATAAATTTATGTAGATGTACGATGGTAATACTAAACATGAACTAGCTATTAGAAATGATTATGTAAATAAAGCTATTAAAATTTACTTTCCCGCATAAATTTAGCAGTAAATATAACCTGACTAAGACTTTTTACTGTAAAGCTCCACCCATAAAGTTTATCGAGCATCGGAGTGATTTCTAACAATTAGTACGTTATGTAATCATGAGAAAAATTGCAAGAAGGAAGATTTACAAGATGGGCGGACCGTTCACACTGTCGTTACATCTTTAAGAAAACTATGAGGAAATTGTATTTACTTCATATAATGCAAGCTTTACTGCTGATTGAGTAAGAAACCAGGGATTGTTAAATATATTTTGTCTTTTGGTACAAGTTACAAAACTGATTTATGTAATTCTATTTCAAAGTCTTTAAACTTTTCCTATCTGAATTTATTATTATTACATACATATATATTATGATCTGTAATGGAAAATAAATAAATGTACTTTTAGTTTTAGCTGTGCGTGTTATTCTCTAACAAAATCACCCGATGTGTGTTTAATTATAAATCATTTTAATAAACTAATTAATATTACATTTAAATCCACCTTCAATTATTACTTCCAGACAGATTCCTTTGTGTGTGTGTGATCTCTCACTGGTCGTACCGAATTGTTGTCCCATCCACACATATTGTTGTATGGAAGTGATAGAAAAGGAGAGAGCACTTGTGTTTGTGCACATATTTGTACCTTTATTATAATATCTATTGCCCGCTTATTAAGATGGGTTGTTACCGAAATCGGTCAGGAGTTCATTATTATACCTATGTATAAGAAAAGAATTTTCATAAAAATATTTTCACCTTTCCCTAGGCTTCAATTTCAGGGGGAAATTACAACAAATAATTTAACTATTAAGTAATAAGTTGATGACGACTATATTATTACTTTATAAAAACTTAAAAAAACCGACTTCCAGGCACTAAAATGTAAAAACTAACTAAACGGAGGTTTTCATTTAGAATAGATACCTAATCAGATATTTTTGAAGTCGGTGCCAGCCGATCCAAAGCAAATGTAATATATTTCGATACGTAAAATACATATTTACCTATTAGATATTCATAAAAATATAATTAAAAATATTGTCGGCTGGCACCGACTTCGAAAATATCTGATTAGGTATCTATTCTAAATGAAAACCCCCGTTTAGTGATTTTTTACATTTTAGTGCCTGGAAGTCGGTTTTTATTTATTTTTTTAAGTTTTTATTTGTCCATTTTTGATGTAGACGTAATAAGCAGGTAATTTGTAAGAAGAAAGTTTTTTTTAAATATTCGATTAAACAATTTATAAAAAACCCTACCATACCATACCCTTTTAAACCAATAAAAATCCAAATCGGTTCAGGCGTCTTCGAGTAATCGATTAACATACATAAAAAAAAGGTTCCGACGAATTGAGAACCTCCTCCTTTTTGGAAGTCGGTTAAAAATAACATCCCCTAAGTACGTCCCTAGGTGTTCAAGAGTTAGTGTAAGTCATAGTCTATCTGTGGACAAAATTTTGTCTAAATCCGTCCAGTCATTCTAGTGTGAAGAAGTTTTCTCGTAATTCGTTCCCAGACAGACAAAAATTCTAAAAACTATAGATTCGGCCTATATATCGATAATAATGACTACTTCAATAAGACTTTCCAAAAAATATTAAAATTGTAGAGATTCGACTGAGTTAGAATTTTATTATATGTGTAGATATAAATAAAGATAAAAAATACTTCTGAGCTCTTAATGCATCTTGAGTATTTATGACTCTAATGTGAACCAACATAAATTTAATGCATCGTATTACTACGAGGTCGACCGCAATCATCACCACTACAATATGAACAATATAAATAATGATATTTGGTAAAAATGAGTGTTAACCAGTGAACACATCATACGCCACCGGAAAAGGCGTTATATACATATGTACTGTACCATATAATATTTTTTAATTTTTTTTTTTTAATCATTTACTTCAGGCAATTAATGTAAAAGTGATAAATTTTTAAGGATCTGTACCCGAAGGGTCCCAAAGGAACCCTATTGCTAAGCCTCCGCTGTTCGTCCGTCCGTCCGTCCGTCCGTCCGTCCGTCTGTCAGAGGGCTGTACCTTATAAACCGTAATAGGTGGAGAGAATTTTTCACAGAGTATATATTTCTATTGCCGCTATAACAACAAATCATAAAAATAAATAAAAAAGAATAATAAACAAAAAAACATGCTTATAAGATTTAACATTCGTAATGGATCGTTATGTTCGAAGTTATATATATATATATATATATATATATATACTATACACAGAGTAAAAGCTATGAATAAATAATATTTATTCGTAAAGTAAAACTCATATTAATTAAGAGTACATATACGATGGTACGGAGCCCTTCGTGTGCGATTTTGACTCGCACTTAACCGATTTTTTTTAAATTCTATTTAATTAATAACTATTAAAAATAAAAATATTACTATTTATTATATTAATGAATGGGACTCGTCAAACAAATCAAAAGAGGCCTTAAAAGGAAAATTGTACTTTGCGTACAGTCTCAATAATCACTAAAAACAGATTTAAAAACAATTAAAAATTGCTTTATCTTAATGTATTTACTTTGTTTATATTTATTACTATATGAATGATTCACAAAACATTTGTACCTATTGAAAAATAAGGAAAAATGCTTTATTTTACTTAATGTTCAGAAATATTAATAAGAATTGGTAATATTATATATAAAATTAGCGATTCACCCTCGCTCCGCTTCAGGTTCGTCCCTAGACAAAAACAAATCCCCACGAGAACCACACATTTTTCCGGGATAAAAAGTAACGTTAGTAACGTATGTGCTATTCCAGACTATAATCTATCTCTGTGCCAAATTTCATCCAAATCCGTTCAGCCGTTCTGGCGTAAAAGAGTAATAAACATCCATCCGTCCATTCCCACAAACTTTCAGATTTAATATTAGTATAGATTAATCATTGAAAAATAATATAGGACAATCATGTATATATTACTATTTAATTTTTAATGGCTGTTGTGTATACAGCTTAAGCCAAACTAGCTCATCATATAAAAAGTATATAATCATTTCCCGTAATACACAAGTATATAAAGACTCTTATTACAAAGATATAAAGTTTTATTTGGTTTTACAATAATGATATAAGGTTAGACCTCATTATGTCATTTTCTTTAAATTGGGCTTCCAAAGTCAAACACCATACTGTGTCTATGTCATTAGAAGTTAATTTTAGTTTATTTATTACAAAATAGATATTTGATATACTAAATGTTTCTCTCAACTTTGTTTGTACGTTTGTACTGGCCATTAGTATAAAAGAGTACGAAAAGTAAGAAAATAAATAGTAATAACAAAACGGCACAAAAATATATCCGATTTTTATAAGAAATACGTACAGATTATATTTTTTTAATATTATTTACTTGTATATAGTATATGCAAAATTAATTAATATCTTATGTTATTAAAAAAAAAGCAAAAAAGATAATGTTTTGGAGGCGCCGGGTATCGATCCCGGTACCTCTCGCATGCTAAGCGAGCGCTCTACCATCTGAGCTACGCCCCCCTTGAACATAGTGTTGAAAAAGTATATCATATATTTAAAGCAACTCATGAGATTTAAAACTTACATATTTAGATATGACTAGCATTGCCCGCAGCTTCGCCCGCGTTCAGCTGATCAAAAACCAAATTCTTAGGTTTTACATATTAGTATAGTACTCTTAGATTGCATTTTTGTATTTTTTCTCGGTAAAAAGTATCCTATATGTTGACCCAGATACCCAGCTATCACTGGTGGTTTTTCTGTGATGAGGTAATGGACAGACAGACAGTCAGACAGACAAAAATTCTAAAAACTATAGATTCGGCCTCTGTATCGATAATAATGATTTTCCAAAAAATATTTAATGTACAAATTCGGCATAGTTACAATTTTATTATATGTATAGATATGTATAGAATTTAGATCTCTAGCCGACATCTCTTACAGAGTGTAAAGGTGTGCACTTGCAATTTTTAAATTATATGTTTAATATGGACTTCAAGAATATCTTAATAATTGCAAGTGCAAAGTATGCAAAAATAAAAAAATAAAAATTAATTTGTCATTTCAGCAGTATTTTAGTCAAAACATTAGACTCCTAGCTCTAGTGGAACCCGCATCTTACAAACACTTACGGCTAAACTCAGCATCATCCCCATCACCATCATCACCATCTTTGGAATGAAGAAAATAAGACTAACAGACGAACGTCAACTCTATGACTGTTAATTTTAGTTATTTTCATAGTATTTTACTCAAGCATTGTAAAGATGTCAGAAACGATAACGTATTTAAAATTACAACAAAATCTAAGCTTATAAGATTAGATACTAATAGAAACAATAAAATCATGATTGCATTTGCAAGTCTCCGTATACTTGTTTCGTCGATATGTTTCGGGTGTTTGTGTTTTTATCGGTATGTCTAGCAAGTGCCTACGTCGCATTAGATGATGACTTTCTACATCCAGAATTTAAATCTAGAAGTAACATCGTTGCTAGACCTAATGTTGCAGAACATACTGCACAATATTGGATCGACGAGGCCCAAAAATCAATCGAATCACGACGAGCCCACGTCCAATCTAAGGGTGTAGCTCGGAACGTAGTATTGTTTTTGGGAGATGGTATGTCTGTGCCTACGCTAACTGCAGCACGCACATTACTCGGTCAGCGCAATAGACAAACTGGTGAGGAAGCACAGCTTTCTTTCGAGAAGTTTCCTACTGTTGGACTTGCGAAGGTAATTTTATTTTTAATTAGATCATTAGATTTCTGAATCCTACTCATTCATTTTATAAAGTCCCACTACCAGTCTCTCTCATATTGAAGATTGTAAAAGGGATATGGCACTGATCAAGTGCGGGTTGGTAGTCTTCATAATGCATATGTTTTTGAAATCTTGTTAGTAGATTCCCTGAGATATGCTGATTTTCACACGATTTTTTCCTTAATCGTCAAACAATCGCTCAAATTGAATGTCGCTATGGAAAAATAATTGTTTTTGTCATACAAAATATACAATAAGTTTACCATACGACAATATTCCAATTCGTTGTCAATTTGTATGGATCTATTAACGTTTTTGGACAAGACTTCATAATGCATAGCATTAAAAAGCTCAAAATAATCACCTTTTATTTAGTTCACTAACAACTTACCCTCCCGTGAAAAACAAAATCAAATCAAACCCCCCATGGATTAACCTAAAATTTTTCCGGGATAAAAAGTAACATTAATAGGTTACTATTCTATTCCAGACTATAATCTATATGTGTGTCTTTCATCAAGATCCGTTGAGCCCTTCTGGCGTCAAAGAGTAACAAACTTTCGCATTTATAACATTAATAGTATAAATTGATAATGTTATAGACCTACTGCGTCAACGCTCAAGTTGCTGACTCAGCCTGTACAGCGACAGCATACTTGTGCGGAGTGAAAGGCAACTCTGGGACGATTGGAGTGACGGCGGCTGTGACGCGCCGAAACTGCTTAGCCTCTCTCGACTCCGCTAATACTGTGGAGTCGATTGCCGAGTGGGCACTTGCCGATGGTCGAGATGCTGGTAAGATTATTTTTTTTATAATACTTTCTTAGATTTATGCGAATATTTGACATTTTAAATAAAACTATCTTTTTGGATTTTTTTGCGGATTTATAATTCAGACTCTCTCTCGTGACCATGATTGCTGTAAACTATTATCGGAAACATCGAGAATTAAAAATCAAAATCCAAAATCCACGAAAAAATAGTTTTATTTAAAATGATTTTCTTATTATAAGCATATGCTATAAGTATCATATGATTATTTTGGATTAATAATGGGGGCTTTGTTTAATTTATACTTGTCATTCTATTAAAAAATATTTTATCATTTATAAAATCATTAAGTCATTAGGAAAAGAAAATATGCAATTTTATAAAATAATCTAATTAATTTACATATTTATCAGGTCTGTCAAAGTCATTCAATAATCCGATAACAATCGGATCACTTGACTCATATCATACTGAATTACTATACTAAAGTGGCAATGGATGGTGAAGTATGGCAATAGAATTTTATAATGCTATCGACTCACACTCGCTTCGCTCAGGTTCGTCCCTAGGTACGTTTTGACGCTTAATATGGAATAGTTTTTTTTTTTTCAAAAAAATCGTAATTTTTTCTGATGTTTTAATAGTTATTCGGGGTGAAGACATATCCAAAAAACAAAGATCATAAAATTGGTCCAGCAGTTTTCGGGTTATAAGTGTTCTAACAAATCCGACTTTGTTTTATACATACATATATATGCAATATATAGATTATTATCATATATTGTAAATACTGATATCCTGTATCTTGCGTTAATGTTTTTTGTCAACTTGTTTTCATCTTTTTAGTTCGCTTGTACGCAATCGTGTTTTTTTCTTTCTTTTTGTAAATATTTGTTATTGTACATAGCTTTGTGTAAACAACTGTAAGCATAGCATTTAAAGTTGAATTCATATTATTGTATATTTATTTCATTTAGAATTATCTAAACACAATTGGTGATAGTTTATTTATTATTAGATTGTGTTATTAGATATTAGATTTTCTATCTTTATTAGTGATCGATGTTCAGACGTGCCTTTTCATTATTATTTTTGGTGTAATGACATTACACACTCTCCACTACGCGACAATATTTAATGAGCAATTCTTGTACATATATATATACATTTATTTTCCGCATCTCGGGAACGCTTCTAACGATTTAGATCAAACTTCGTATTTAGATAAAGTTTTGCTTTTTAAGTATATAGGTAGGGTGCCTTCTTCGAAAAAACACGATTTTACAAAACGCCGAGCGGAGCTCGGTCGCCTAGGTACTGTTATAAAATGAGCTGTTCTTTAAGTTATAATATTCACGATTAACTACCTCATTCTTCTAGTGACTAGCATCTACTGGTGAAGATCAGGAGATTCTAGATTCGAGTCCTAGGTAGACCCAAGGAACTCGGGTGTTCTCGAAAAATTTGGTGCATACATACCTGTTTATCAGAGAGCATGTACGAGGTTATAAAGCGGTGGGTGTAACGCCTGCTCTCTCACCGGTTATGTTCGAACATCAAACTCCACTCCTATTAAAAATAAAAAGTGGAAGGAGTAAAACCGCTGAAGTGAATTTAAAGTTATTTTACCTTTATAGTTAAAATGTAAAACATTTTACTATAAAAGTTTTTTAGAATATATTATGATAAAACATATTCTAACATGTGCATATATTGTACTAAATATATTTTACAAACGTCGTCTTTTTTTTTCAAAAAAAAAGGTATCGTAACAACAACTCGTATAACTCACGCTTCGCCCGCCGGAGCTTACGCCAAAGTAGCAAGCCGAAATTGGGAAAATGACGCTCAAGTGCGACATGACTTACAAAACCCAAGTCAGTGCCTTGACATCGCACACCAGCTGGTACATAAACATCCCGGAAACAAATTTAAAGTAGGTACGTGAAACTAGATATTACGACATTTCTCTGATAATGGACAATTATCTTATTTATTTCGTTAAAACGGTCATAGATTACTTTTTAAGATAAGCTTACAATCGGCAGTATTATATATTGTAAAATAAAATTGAATTTGTGTTTGTTCAGGGTAATTACAGAAATCGCTGTACAGATTTCCATGCAATTGCCACCTATAGAAAGAAGTATTGCCTAGGAATATTATAGGCATTTTATTTTTGAGTATTTTGTGAAGTATCCGCTTTAATGATATTTTAATGAAGTTGGAAAAACTAACGCACCTGAGTGAAGTGAATAAGCCACTAGTCATAATAATATACGTATATGGCTTTATTAAAGTTAAAATTATTGTTTTAATGAAAGTTTACTATTACAAGCTTTTATTTAGTTTCACATGTCCCGTTGTGTGTAATGAAATCTTGCAAGTTAAATTAGACCTACTTCTCAGTGTTCCCAAGACAATGTACGACTACCTAAATGCCGCCATTTTTAATCCAATATGGCGGATCTTACAAAATGGCCATTTATTATTTTCATAGTGACCCTTATAATATTTGCATCTAAAGAAAGGGCTTGATGAGCAAAACACAATAAATAAAGTGACGTTGACGTAAGAAAGGTGGCGGGCAGTGGATGGATGCGGGCTGCCCAGGACCGGGATGGTTGGCGCTCATTGGGGGAGGCCTTTGTTCAGCAGTGGATGGCGATAGGCTGATTGATTGAAAGTGGCGTTATTGTATATCTAATATGGTGGACTCCCAAAGATGGCAGACTATGTTTTTTTATGCATTTCATTTGATATCCATATCACGACGACAAGCTTTTATATCATATAAATTGTGTAATGTAATAAATTGTTGGGTTTGATTTAATTTAAAGTATATTTTCTTGTTTATAGCATTTAAAAAAACTTGTTTTTAAAAAATGTTTTTGAAATTACCATTATTATTATTATTATTTTGTTTATTAGGTACGACAATGTTTTATTACATAGATTTTCAAATTATATTGTTATCAGAAACTTATTAAAGTCATGTTAGCTAATTAATCAAACATATTACAGGTAATCTTAGGTGGAGGAAGACGAGAATTTCGGAATGCAACCGTAATAGATGAAGAAGGTACTGCTGGAGCCAGATCAGATGGTCGTGATCTTATAGAAGAGTGGAAAAATGATAAGAAATCGCGTAACTTAACCTATAAATATGTTTGGAACCGCGAGCTATTACAAAATATCGATATTAACGAAACTGAATACATTTTGGGGCTGTTCGAAGGGAGCCATCTTCAGTACAATATGCAGGCAGATTTGCGCACCGAACCCTCACTGGCATTACTTACAGAAACTGCTATCCGAAAGTTGAGCCAAAATAAAAAAGGATTCTTCTTATTTGTCGAAGGTGGTAGAATCGACCACGCACATCATGCAAATAGGATACATCTTGCTTTAGATGAAACTATAGAGATGAGTGCAGCAGTAGCTCGCGCTGTAGAATTACTTTCCGAAGACGATTCCCTAATAGTAGTGACAGCTGATCACGCGCACGTCATGTCCTTTAATGGTTACTCAGTACGGGGAAAAGATATCCTAGGACCATCCGACAGGAGTGATAGCAACAATATTCCTTACATGACTATATCTTATACAAATGGCCCAGGATTTAGGGCACACGTAAACGGCCAACGACCTGATGTTACACAGGAAGCAAATTATGGTAATTATGTGAATTAACTAAATTAACTTAAGACATTAAAAAGCTTTCAACTCAATCTCAAATGTGACCACGTTTGATGTAAATCAATATTTAATGTATGGTATGGTTTCGTAATTCGTCAGTTCTGTTTATTTTTATTGACAAGCTAATAATAATATAATATGGAGGCGTCCTAGGTCACTCTATATAACGAAAAATAAAAGAACTAATAATATTGTATAAAACTTTTTAACAAAAAAATAAAAACCGACTTCAAACAAAAGCACTAAAAAGTAAAAAATAACTGATTGGTAGTTTTAATTTACTATACATACCTAATCAAATATTTTCGAAGTCGGTGTGTCTGAAGTCTACTATTAGCCGTTGAAGAGTTCCACCTATCCACCTTCTGGCCTTGCTATCAGATCAGGTCAACAACACCGAACCACTGTACTATCAACGGAAATAGAAATACTTGCAAAGTTTCAACTCAATATGACAATTAGAAGTAGATTAAATTCATCATTAGTTGTTTTTCCACCCTTAGGGGTGGTATTTTTTTTTGAAATTTAAATGGGACCAATCTGGAAGTATACCCTGTCAAACAAAATAAAAATTGTCCAAATCGGTTAATAAATGACGGAGTTCTGAGGTAACAAACATAAAAAAAAAAAACATACAGTCGAATTTAGAACCTCCTCCTTTTTGAAGTCGGTCGAAAATATATTCCAAATTAGGTGTACTGTTATTATACCAGCTTTATTTATAAGATACTAATTTTTGTTGCTTTATGATTGTTATATTTACTAAATAATATGTCATCTATGTTTGGAAAAATAATTGCATGTGTGAGTGTATAATGTCAAATTATTTTAGTAATTAAAGGCTATTTTATTTATTTTATTTTATTATGGTTTCGTAATTAAAAAGCAAAATAAAACCGCAAAAACATAAAAAAAAGAAATATTTTTATTTAAAACGTCAAATATTCGCGTAAATAAAAACTGAAAGTCTCCTGTACTACTCGCAGGTACCATGTCATGGAGATCTCACGTGGACGTGCACCTCTCATCGGAGACGCATGGGGCGGACGATGTAGCGGTGTTTGCGCGCGGGCCGTGGCACGGCGTGTTCACGGGGCTGTACGAGCAGAGCCAGCTGCCGCACCTCATGGGGTACGCGGCCTGCCTCGGCCCGGGCCTACATGCGTGCAATGCTGACGACACGCAACAACCACTGCTACTGACTGTTGTATCTGTTTTTGTTATACGTATATTTTTATGAATTGTTTTTGGTAATTCATATTTAATTTTTATCCCCATGTAACAATACTACAATATTGTAACCTAATATTATTACGATCTAGCCAAACAGGCTATTAAGTAATTTAATTTTAACTTAGTTTTATAAAATAATATATCTAAGAATGTGTCCAATGGCACTTTTCTTATAGTCTCTGGTTAAGGGTAAGGCACTTTGTTCTTGTGTTACATATTAGTAGCACTATAATATTATTACTTTCACTACATTACACTATTTGTTTTGATGATGTTCTCCTAGCCGATTCCGGCCACGGCGGCCAATCTCAATGAGATTAGCCAACTGCGCAGGAGATATTATAGTGCTCAAGTGTACGCGCAGACACAAGTGCACTCTCTATTCCTATCACTCTCATACTCCGGTGGGACAACCACTCGACACGACCGGTGAGAGTTAAGGCGCAGGACCGACGGCTTTACGTGCTCTCCGAGGCACGGGGGTGAAACACCGCCAACTTCCCAACTCCGGGCTGTTACTGAGACTTACTATACAGGAAGACTCAATAACTAAACTTGGCCCGACCCGGGACTCGAACCCAGGACCTCCGGGTGTGCAGCCGTACATGCTAGCCACTACACCACCGAGGCAGTTAAATTTAGCTATTTGTTTTAACACTACACTAACTCAAAAGGTTTAGTTCTTTTGAGCCTTCTTACTATATCCGTGTTGTCGAGAAGCGGGATTGCCTCGATATTCACATGATTATGAAGTCTTTGCTCGTAATCACATTTATGCATCAAAATTATTTCAACATTTTGCGCTTTCTTAGTTTTTTTAGAGCATTTAAATAAATAAATTGTACTTCTTTTATTTTATTCGTATTCTTCTCAGCAAACTCTTTTATTTGGTATCCATATCATCGGGGGCATAAATAGCCTAGTCCGCTATTATTGGGACCCGCCATATTGGATTTACAATGAAGTCACTTTGCTTATTGTGTTTCACTCATCAAGCCCAGTTATTTCATGCCCATGACATTATAAGAGTCACTATGAAAATGTTAAATCGCCATTTTGTAACGTCCGCCATATTGGATAAAAAATGGTGGTTAATGTCACCATTTTTTATATAGGTAGTCGTACATTGTCTTGGAAACACTGGGAAGTGGGTCTAATTTAACTTGCAAGATTTCATTACGCTAAATAAGCGCTAGTAATAACAAACTTTGATTATAGACAGACATCGGACAGGTAAAACTAAATAAAAGCTCATCATTCTTTTCCCTAACGCGCCAAAAGAAGTATAACTTAAATAAACTGATTAAATATTGATAAACATGTTGATATTATTGACTTTTATTTTCTTCGAATAATTAGATTGTAAATATCTCTTGTCTATAAAATAAGTTATTAAATTGTTTATTATATTCTTTGTCGTTTCATTTTCTTCCACTTTCCCAGACACGTAGTCGAAACTAGACCACAACAAAATATAATTTAATCAATATAGAAATTTTCGTAGTACGCCGAGTGTAGAAGTGTGCTTGATAACTGTGACCTACCACGCAGTGCTAATTAAACACATGCTTAAATTATAACAGATTATTCTACTAAAAAAATTTTTTACAAGAACGATTCCATGTGAAAGAACTGAGGTCCACTAAAAAGTTCACCAAGTCACTTTCAATTACAGCATTATTGATATTTGATTCAGTAGATCGTTTGACAAAGTACAAACAACGTCTGACTGAATACTTGATCTGACGAAATCTATGCAGAAATTATAAAGAAATAGTACAAATTGTCTTAGGATGGTTAAAATTACCGAATATAATGTATTTTTTAATTTTCCCCCTGACTAGTTCTAAAAAAGTCCGCGAAAGTCAATGTCTATCTTTTAGAAGTAAGATCTGATCTGAGAATTGAAAATCTGATCTCATGATAATTGTAACCCAAACTTGCCATGAGATCGGATTTTCAACAGGTACGTAACAAAGATTTAAAAGATAAAAATATTTCCTCGTAGTAAACTTTTTTATCTATCTCCATCAGAGCAATCTAATACTCCGTCCAATTCTCATATATGTACATAACATATTCAAATTCATAAGTAATATAATTTTTGAAACCTTTTTAAATAAAATTGTCCAAATATCGACAATTCGTTTGCACAATTTTTTACGCTTAAAAATTATGATAAGACAAATTCTTACATTGTTGATTTTATCTGAATTTGAATAGAAAGATAAAATAAGCTTCTACCATAAATATAAGGGTGAATTAATTACAGCAATAAGTAAAGTAATAAACATCACTAGTGCACACACAGATATTCCAGCAACTGTGATATCGCTTTCATGGCTTTGTCACGAGAAGTCCGGCCTCCTCGTGCGATGTACATTATGTAAGACTTAACAGCTTAATCGTTGACCACGCCCACTTTGCAGCTATCAAGTAACAATCGATTATTAATAAATATATTAGCAATCTAGATGATTTAATTTAAATCTATAAAGAGATAAAGCATTATTATCATAAATACGTGTAACTAGCATGCTTTCACCATTCCTGAGCATGTATTTGAGGTGGACATTGTCAGCGCTCGCGTGCCTCTCGCTGGCCACTGCAGCCACGGCGGCTTCGACAGCAGATCGGTACCATCCGGAGAGACTAGCATCGAAACATAATCTTCGGGCGTCTCTTAATAGAGCAGAGACCACAAAAGATTTTTGGTTTCAAGATGCCAAAGCTGCTATCGAAGAAAAAATTAAACGAGGTTTTGGAGGAGAAACAAAGAAAGCTCGTAATGTGGTGATGTTCCTCGGCGATGGCATGTCTGTTCCTACGCTGACTGCTGCTCGTACGTTGTTGGGACAAAGAGATAGAAAACCTGGTGAAGAGGCACATCTCTCGTTTGAAGCTTTTCCATCAGTTGGACTTGCTAAGGTACTTGAAAAAATATTAAGATGAATGTGAAACAAGTAGTTGTTTGTTAGTTATATTAAAATCTGTGAAGTAACTTAAATACATAATAAAAGTAATTGTATTAAGAGTGGAACCGAAAGCCAGAATTTTTTGGAATTTTATCTGTTTGATTTTTAAACATCGCAAAACTCTAAATAAATATTATAAAAACTTTCTTCACTGTACCTTAGCTTTGGCTTACATACATAATATTTTTACATGGTATATATATATATATATATATATATATATATATATATTGTATATAATATGTACATATACCCGTATATAAAGAAAGTATCTAGGGTCTACATTTAATCATAGACTTACTGCGTGGACGCACAAATTGCTGATTCGGCATGTACTGCAACGGCGTACTTGTGCGGCGTGAAGGCGAACGAGGGGACCATCGGGGTCACCGCCGAAGTGCCGAGATGGAACTGCAGTGCTTCAGTCTCAAACTCAACACATGTAGAATCAATTGCGGCTTGGGCTCTTCAGGATGGACGTGATGCTGGTTGGTCTCCTTTAATCCTTTCTTGTTCCTTTTGATATATGTATCAAAACAAAAACTTATGAATTTACCTTAGTGCCTGTATGTTTTAATAATATCATTAGTGTTGTATTTATGTTTGTGGTCCAACCTAAAGTCACTAAGGCGCATCCCTAATAACAAGTTGACTAGTATCTCTCAACTCACTGGAAATAAAACAAAATATGAACTAGAATAAAACGTTAAAAACTACATTTATTTTTATGAAGTTATAAAATAATGCAAGGAAGGTATTAGTTTAGTGAGACTTCAGCAACTTACCTTGTAAGTATGTACATATGTCATATTTATTTATTCCTTCAGGTATTGTAACGACAACCCGCGTCACTCATGCATCTCCTGCTGGAGCATACGCAAGAACAGCAAATCGCAACTGGGAGAATGATGCTGAAGTACTCCTTGATTCTGGAGATCCTAACGTGTGCCCTGATATTGCTCACCAATTAGTACATTCATATCCTGGAAACCAATTCAAGGTTTGTGTGCAAAAATTTCAAAAATTACAAAGATTTTTTTATTTTGGTTCTTAAGGTAATTCATTATCTAGTAATAATGTAAAGTAATAATCTTAAAAATACCTGAATTTTATTTTAAATAGAAAATTAGTAATGACTGATGATCTGTTTAATAAATAAAGCAAAATTAGTAATGTCCTTCTTCCTTTCCAAAAAATATTTTACTTAGCCCAAAAAAATATTATTAAATAGTAATAATATCGAAAATCTCAATAGGTAATCCTAGGTGGAGGTCGACGAGAATTTTTACCAAGAACCAATTCTGCAGAACCAGGCTTAAGAACAGATGGTAAAAATTTAATAGACGAATGGATAACTAGCAAAGTTTCCCAAAACGCTTCCTACCAATATGTCCAAACTCGTCAAGAACTACTTCAAGCTAATAATACTTTGCCTGACTACTTGTTAGGATTATTCGAATCAACCCATCTTAAGTATCACATGGAGAGTAACCCAACCGATGACCCTACATTAGAGGAACTCACAGAAACAGCTATAAGAATGTTAAGCAGGAATGAGAAAGGCTTCTTTTTATTTGTCGAAGGCGGTCGCATCGACCATGCTCATCACGACAACTACGTACATCTCGCTCTCGATGAAACAATTGAGCTCAGTAAAGCAGTAGCCAAGGCTACCGAGCTTCTTTCTGAGGAAGATTCATTAATAGTCGTTACCTCTGACCACGCACATGTGATGGCATTCAATGGGTACACACAAAGAGGTGGAGATATCCTTGGACCTTCGGACAGTACCGATAGTAGTGGCGTGAAATACATGACTCTATCTTATACTAACGGACCCGGATTCCGTCCTCAAGTCAATGGTATTAGACCAGATGTCACACAAGAATCTAACTATGGTAAGTATAAATTTATCTTAGTAACCAGCAGATTGAATTCATCCGCTACATGCCACTTTTTGCAACTTGTAGGTCGTAGTCCATTACAAAACGCAAACTCACTTTAACATATTAATTCTGCGTGTGATTTAGCACTTTATCTCTGGCGAAGAACTTTATTTAGAATTTTATCTGTTAAAATCACCGCCAGCATAGCGCTTTCCATTGCTCGCTGAGCGATTTCCAATTTGTAGAACAACACGCATAACGGTTCGGCTATGCGAAACAATTAGTGGAAAAGATTCTGGTACTCAAAGATCAACGATTGGAACTTTCAATTTTATTTACTATGCTACAATAGTCTTTTATGTCCTATTTCACAGGTGAACTACGTTGGAGAGCGCATGTAGACGCACCGCTGGATTCAGAGACTCACGGTGGAGATGACGTGGCAGTATTCGCTCGTGGTCCCAATCAGAAAATGTTCACAGGATTATATGAACAGAGCCACATCCCTTACCACATGGCGTACGCCGCCTGCATCGGGCCCGGAGTCATCGCCTGCAACGCCGCGGTCAGATTACAATATCCGCTTCTAATTTTAACGCCATTGATCTTTCTTGTAAAGCATTTGTCTACTTTTTGATGTAGTAGCTTATGAATTAAAGTTTGATACGGATGTCATTCCGATGTTAGCATACTAAACTATTTATTAAAAATTTATGTAAATAAAAAATACACTTTTATATTTTTATAGCATATTGGGTTTATTGATATTACGCCATCATAAAATGGGCTGAACTTTGATCAAAAACTGAACACTCAAAAAAAATTAATAAAGGAATTAGAATTTGAGTACCCAAGCCCAAAATTAAAAAACAAGAACCACATACTTTACTTATTTGTATAAATACTTAATAAAAAGAATTGACGAGATATTGTTAATGGCCCATGGTACTATTTTCCCTCTCTTCTTTTGTCTCATCATCAAGAACAAGCTACAAATTTCAGCTAGAGCAGTAGCAATTTTTAATAGTCTCTAAATACTTCTTGCTGTCTTGTTTCTGGTTTTGAGGACTTTTTAACTAGTCACCTCTACAGTGAGATTTTGCCTAAGGAGGTTGATATGTCCTGACGGCTTAACCGAAGTTGATGATTCGTACGTCATTAATCTCGTCTTGATAACGCGAGTATTATAGGGTATAGACATCATAGAAAAATAAAATAGCAGATCTAATGCACCAATTTTCTTGTCTTCAAAAAAAAATTGTCGGAATTAATCGAGTGGGGTATATTCAAAATACAGGTTTATAAGAGGTGATTACAAAAATATATACAACTTATAAGTAAAAAATATATTATATAAGGTAAGAAATTGATAAATAAAACTAAAGATGTCTACCTGACCAAAACAAAAAAGATGTACATAAAAAAATATCTATAAAAACAAAAAGACCCCAACTACGTAAAAAGCGAACTAAAAAGATTAGAACAAGTTGATAAAGAAACATACTATTATGCAGTCGGAAACATACAAGTTTTTACTAACTGACTGCGTAATACTTCTTTTTAGTTCGCTTATTACGCAGTCAGTTTTTTGTGATATCATTACTACTATACTGACAGTCATATATCACTCGTTACATTTGAATTATTTTTCCTTTTATAATGTCTTTTTAGCATCACAATCGAAAAGAGTTTTAAAATTCACGTTTATGGATGGTGTAACGTGCAGAAAACAATTTTTGGTATAAAGACTGTTACTATGCTTATTTATCATAAACACAAATTATTATACAAGCTAATTTATACAACTAAATATTCTAATGTGATGACTACAGTACACAGACCATAATAATAAATTATTATAATTATCACATGATTATTTCCCAGACAGACAGACAAAAATTCTAAAAGCTATTTTTCGGCCTCTGTATCGATAATAATGACTATTCCAATAAGATTTTCCACAAAATAATTAATGTACAGATTCGACTCAGTTGGTATTTTATTGTATGTATGTATAGATTACATTTAAATTATTTCTTATCGCCTAAATAAGCTTTTAAACCTTATATGATTTTTTATCGTATTATTTTATCTGTACATTTCTTTTATCTTTTCCTTTACGACTTCAACACGACGTCATGAACATGTCCTGCTATACCACGACAATAACACGTTTTTGTCCACATACACCTTTGAGCCATAACATTGACTATTGTACAGTAAGATCCCAGAGTCTCCAGACATAACTTATATTCTGAAAGACGAAATGTGTGGAATACAGTAGTGTATTTATGCACGTTGAACGTTCGCATACCTGCTAAGTCGTGAAGTCCGCCAATTTACAGGTACCAGGTGCGGGCAGTGAGTAAAAATTAGACTTCTTCATACATTCTGACAGCCTTCAGACTTTTTTACATATGATATTTTGTAGAATATTATTTTCAATTTTTACGCAGATTTATTTAGTTTTCTGGCTACCGACGTTTCGAATGCTTTACAGCAATCATGGTCACGGGAGAGACTAAGATTTTAGAGGTTATGTATTTCAATTCAATTCTTTTGTTTAGTGGCTTCTTGAAGTGCCAGTTGGGCACAAGTTGTGTTGTGTCCCTCATTTTTCCCCTCTTGCTGTTAAAGAGTAACATGAAAGATAATTAACTTGATACATCATTAAATAGAGAATAGGATTTATTTTTGCAACTATGCCCAACTTAATTTGACACAAACACGTAGCTTTATCAGTTTGAAAAATAAACTTTATCGCAAGTATATAAGGTTTACTTTTTAAAAGATTCAATATTCGTATTGTTATCTCATTGATTAGTAACAACGTGTATCATAATTTTTCGAGACCATAGTAGCAGATAATAAAATATAAATTAAAAATTATAAAAAAAACCCATGACGAAAAATCGTGACATGAAAAAAATTTCAAAAGCCCTCGACTTTCCACCGTCCATTCAGCTGTCGCGTCGTACGTAACCTATGTTGTAGACTGTACAATGTATCTATTATTAAGTATTATGTGCCAGTAACTTTATTGTTGACTAACATTGCCCCCGGCTCCGCCCGCGTTCAGGTGACCAAAAACCAAATTCTTAGGTTTTACATGTTAGTATACTCTTACCTTGTAGTTTTTGTATTTTTTCTCAGAAGTGAGACATTTCACCGCGGTAAAAAGTTTCCTATATGTTGACCCGGATTACCAGCTATCATCATACCAAATTTCATCAAAATCCCTTCAGTGGTTTTTCTGTGATGCGGTTACAGACAGACAGACAGACAGACAAAAATTCTAAAAACTATAGATTCTGCCTGTGTATCGATAATAATGTCTATTTCAATAAGATTTTCCAAAAAATATTTAATGTACAGATTCGGCTCAGTTACAATTTTATTATATGTATAGATTAATGTGTATTTTACAACACAGGTTATGCACGACGGCTGAATGGATGGTGGAATGTCGTGGGCTTTCGAAATTATTTCATGTCACAACTTCCCGTCGTGGGCTTATAAAATGTTTAACTTTGTTTTATTTGTGGCAATTTGAAACTTTGATAGTAAATGCAATACTTTTATATAAATAAAATAACCGTCTTGGAGAAACATGTGTATACTTAGCGCCCTCTGGCGGTCTGTTATATTATAAAACTAAGCTAAGAACATGCTTATGAATGAAAGTTATACAAAGCAAAAAACCGTTTTAAAATCAGCCTAGCCGTTTCCGAGAAAAATGGTAACAGACACACAAACACCCGAAACACATGTACCGTCTGCGTGGCCATCGCGTGTAAATCGGTCATTTTACATTCCTAAGTTATCTGATAACATTTGTATGATCGAATTCTATTTTCTTAGATTGTCGCGATTTCATTTAAAAAATCGAATTCTAATACCTACGTTGTAATAATAATCTACGTTGTAGATAAGTAATTGAATTAATTATTTGCTTTATCTTTTGGTAAGGCTACTTGCACCAAAAAGTATTTTTTAGATTTATATAATACGTCATGTATTTTACATGACGTATTATACGCCTTAAACGTCATCTATACATATAATAAAATTGTAACTAAGCGAATCTGTACATTAAATATTTTTCGGAAAATCTAATTGAAATAGACATTATTATCGATACAGAGTCCGAATCTATAGTTTTTAGAATTTTTGTCTGTCTGTCTGTCTTTCAGTCTGTCAGTCTGTCTGTCTGTTACCGCATCACGAAAAAACCACTGGACAGATTTTGATGAAATTTGGTATGATGATAGCTGGTTATCTGGGATTATACATGATACTTTTTACCGCGGGAAAATATCTCATTTCTGAGAAAAAATACAAAAACTTCATTGTAAGAGTATAACTAACTATATAAAGACTAAGAACTAAGAATTTGGTTTTTAGTCATCTGAACGCGGGCGGAGCCGCGGGCAATGCTAGTGTAACATAAAACAAACATTGGCATGTTTAATGACAAAAGCAAAGGTGGATTGTTTTGTTTGGTGGACTCCGACTCAGTGTGATGTGGAACATTCGCTAAAACCCAGTCCTAGCGATACCTTCATCTTAATGAAGCTCTATAGAACCACATTCACATACCATGACTACGAGCCTAATCACTACCAAGTGACCATAACCTTACAATATCACGAATTATAACAATTAAAAATTATTCAGATTATTGTTAATCATTTTAATTGAGTATATGACTGATGATGAGGTCAGTATGTATGATGTACAATTCAAGAATCGTGACTGTCCGTCCGTCTGTTACACGTGCAGTACATAATGCAATATAATTGAAATTGATTCAAGCATTATATTATATCACTATGCTCTAGTCAGTGCTTGCCCGCGGTTTCTTATATTTTAATGTCATACATTATTGCAAAGATTTTTTTCGTTTTCGTATTTATTATAAGAAGAAACGTGCTCTTTGAATTGAATACATTTTCTCTCCTTTAGGGATCTGTGCATCCATTGAAAATTGAAAATTTCTGACTCTTCAATTATCTCAGATTATGTTATCTGTGATAATTGAAGTTATGACAGGCAGTGGTAGCCCAGTGGTAACGCGCTCGCTTGGAAAACCGAGTGAAGCGAGTTCAAATCCCGGGTCTCGCACCTCTGATATTTTCATGTGCGAATCATTTCCAACATGATTACCACTTGTCTTAACGGTGAGGGAAAACATCGTAAGAAAACCTGCATGTCTGAGAGAACCTAGCAAGTTTTCAAAAGACATGTGAAGTCCGCCAATCCGCACTTGGCCAGCGTGGTGGACTATGGCCTGATCCCCCTCGTATTGAAGGGAGGCCCGTGCCCAGCAGTGGGACGTTAAAAAGGGCTGAATACATGTTATCTGTATTTACAGTATACGAGTAAAAAAAGTTAAAACTTAGTATATACTATTTAAATAACATAGTCAATGGTATCCCAGTGGCAACGCCGTCGTGAGGAAACCTGCATGTCTGAGAGAATCTAACAAGTTTTTGAAAGATATATTTTGAAGTCTACCAACCCTCACTAGCCAGCGTGGTGGATCCCTAATCCCCCTCTTATTGAAGGGTGGCCCGAGCCCACCAGTGGAACGTTAAAAAACGGCGGAATACATATATTTAAAAAGATTTCATGTCTCAATCACGAACTTTTACGTTAATGCATTTTTTAAGTTATTATATATTTTTAAGAGTATGACTCAGTTTGCTTCGTTTTATGTTTGAATATTGAAACTTACTATCGCCTATTTCTTTAGCTTTAAACAGTTTCTTAATAGTTCTTTTGCTTAAAATAATATAACAAAATATTCCAAAAATTGTAATGAAATACTTACTTTTCTTAATAAATCGTCCATGACAGGCCGCAGGCGGCACAAGAGTTTGCCATCGATAATGTTATAATTATGCAACGCTATATGGGTAACGCCATAGATCACTAAACTCCGCCAGTGAAGAGTTGGTGGGCGGCAACTGACAGATGTGGAGATTTATCTTGTAATCGGTACAATAGGTGTCAAAAATTATAATAACATTGATCTAGTTTAAATCTATACTACATAAAGAGGCAGAGTTTGTTTGTTTGTATGTTTAAACGCGCTGATCACTGAATGAAAAAACTAATTCGATTTGAAAAATCTTTTCACATTAGATAGCCTGTTTATTGAAGAAGGCTATATAGGCTATATATCTCATAATATATAGTCTCGCTATTTTATACTAACCTTTAAAACGTACGTATAAATAAGTAATACGATATTCTAGCTCATATATGATTTAAATGAAATAAATGCTTTTTTCTCGTATGTATGCACGTTATTTACTTAAAAACTACTTAACCTACCTTCTAATATAAATGGATATCAAATAATTTCACATTCTTCAAATAGGAACTTAGAGATTATTTATAAGATGCGTATTTATCTACAACAATCTTTTAAATACCTTACATTGAAATTCATAGCAACAGCATAAAAGAACACTATTGTTAACTGTACCAAGCATCGATCAAAGGTTATCCTCAAGTTATTAAAACAAATGCGTATAGCCCTTGGCCATGCATTAAGGGTGGAGTATTTAATGGCTATTCATACATTTAGATAGACTATTCCTTGCGACATCATAACGTAATATGTTAACTTATAAAATAACTCATAAAATAAAAAATTTCATTAGAAAATTAAATTTGTATAATATTGATATCTTTGATTTATTTCAATTAATATATAAAAAGAAATGTCTATCGGTGTTTTCAAGATATCATCCTCATATTGAGTTTATATAATCAGGTTAGAATAAATAGTTCAATCGATTTTAATGCAACTTTCACTTGTGAATAGTTTAAAGTCTTATTTGCAGTTCAATTTTAAATAAAAAAGGTTTCATGCAATAAGTTAGACAAGTATGAGTTTTGACATGGGGTCAAAGATCAAAGAGAAGTTAGGGCGGTTTGCTTTTAGACAATAAAAACATCACAAGGCCATTCCAAATTGAGAGCAAAGAACTAGTTAAATTATATCTAACTAGCGGCTCACCTTCGCATCACTCGGGTTTGCCTCTAGAAAAATAAAAACAAATCTATCCCATGGGAAAAGTAGTATGTGTGTTATTTTTATATATGAGCTATATTATTTTAATAATATATTATTTCATTAAAACCCATTCAGTATTTTATCTCGAAAGAGTAACAAACATCCATACATCTATACATCCATACATCCTCACAACCTTTCGCATTTATAAAAACTTTTTATTTTTCCCATTTTAGTGTAGACAGTAGTAGCAAAGTAAGAATTATTATAACGTGTAAAGCCTTTAATGTCAAATCAAACAAAATAAGCCCAAACTCAAAGTATCTACTATTAGTCGTTGAAGAGTTTCACCTATCCACCTTCTGGACTTACCATCAGATCAGCTCAACAATACCGAACCACTGAACTGTCAACGGAAATAGAAACACTTGCAAAGTTTTAAGTCAATATGACAATTAGAAGTAGGTTAAATTCATCATTAGCTATTTTTCCACACTTAGGGGTGGTATTTTTTTTTTTTAATTTAAATGGGACCAATCTGAAAGTATACACTTTCAAACAACACAAAAATTGTCCAAATCGGTTAATAAATAACGGAGTTCTGAGGTAACAAACATAAAAAAATACAGTCGAATTGAGAACCTTCTCCTTTTTAAAGTCGGTAGAAAATATTAGTATACCAAGACGTACCTTATATTATTGCTTAACAAGACAAATAGCATATCTTGTTTCAATGTTCAAATAAACGAAATTTATATTACAGTAAACAAAATATGTAACACCGGGCATGAGCTGTCACGTTCAATGAGACTGTATCAATTGTGATTGAGTTTGATCTTGTTACTAACAGCGTACAATATAGATACTGTAGCAGTGAGTTTCCATTATAGTGGTTTAACCGATTAAAAAAACTTTTACGAATAAAAAAAACCGCCTTAGCTTCACTTAGGCACGTCTCTAGTAACTTTTTTAATAAACCTACCACAGGAACCACTTATTATACTAAATTCACTCACCAGCTTATAAATTATCTTTTTTTTAATACTTATTGGCAAAAAATCACATTAATTCTTTGTTCTGTGACTGCGTAAAATAAGGATAAATTATAAATCCACTCGTCACATTTATTACTTGCAAGGCTATTTTAGTATGAGGGAAAATCCATATGTGTAGGTTCTAAAATATAACCTACCGTTTTAACAAAGGAAACACACCAAAAATTTAACAGTTAAAGAACAAGGCCTGTCATATCAGTCTCGTTACCGATTCGTAGTTGACCCCTGACCCTTTAACCTCAAATACCGACCTTCACGAATCCAACGTGATTCATGATCCATACCAGTTGTCACTTTGAAGGCATCTGCAGATAAGATGTAGACACCTTAGTATACATTGTGTGATTCATTTAAATCCAATGTTGA